CCTCTCAGATTTCAGGTTCATCTTTTCTTTCTCATTTTATTATTTATTTATTTATTTAATTTTTTTTACTTCAACATGAATTAATTACTATGTTTTAATGTATGTTATATTTTGGCTATTTGCTTATTTTTAATTGAATATGATTTTGCTTTTTATCAAAATTTGAGTGAATCTGACAATTCATGTATTTATATTTTATAAAATATTAATAATTTATTTATTCATGTTATGTTTTATACAAAAATTATGTGTCACAATTCGTGTCAACACAAAAACATGAAATACAATTTTTTTTTGTTTTGTTAAACCTATTTATGAGTTTCGCTAAAATTTTAAATCGTGTCATTTTGTACTTTCTATTCATATCGTTTTCATATCGCATCACCTTGTGGTGTTTTAGGTTGCTAGGTCTAAATTTGAAGGAGTAGTAAGTGAATATCAAAAAGCGTTAATCAAATGAAATCTAAATTAATTTATTTTTTTAATTTTTAGTGACAAATACTTGTAAAAATGGAGAAGTTTTTGCAGTTATTTTGATAGTGCATGTTACTTTGTGTTCAAATAGAAAGAATGTTGGCTTTGTTCATTTTTTTCCCTAATGGATTTGATATTGCAGGAAATTATGCATTCATAAAGGAGTATTTCCAAGGGAGCCAAAGAAGAAGGTGAAAGGCAACCATCATACTTACTATCACTTGAAGGATGTTATGTACATTCTTCATGATCCCTTACTCGAGAAGTTTAGGGAAATTAGGGCATATCAAAAGAAGATAAAGAAAGCTAAGGCAAAAAAGAATGATGAGTTAGCAAGGCTTCTTCTATCTCGTGCACCTTCATACAAGCTCGATATGGTCATCCGGGATAGGTTTGTTAAACAATGTGTACTTCTCATTTTCTGTTGTTGAGAATTGTAGGAATTACTGATTATCTAAGCTATTTTCGGGATTTTAGGTATCCAACATTTGTTGATGCACTTAGAGATTTGGATGACCCTCTTACAATGATACACCTGTTTGCAATGTTGCCTGCTATTGATAGGCTGAAAATTGAAGCCAAGCGCATTCATAATTGTCGAAGGTTGGTTGGTTTTTTTTTTTTTTATTATTATTTTGTTAAATAAGAAAATGAGAAGAGAGAGATTTATAGGTTCCTTTATTCTAGCATCTCATCAGTTGCATCTTTTTATGGTCCGTTGTCAGGTTGTGTCATGAATGGCAAGCCTACATTTCTCGTACTCATAAATTACGGAAGGTTTTTGTAGCTGTAAAGGGTGTATATTACCAGGTACTACAACCTTATTTTGTTGTTAATTGTTATAGTTCCTGCTGGTTACAATGCTGTTTTTGTTACTGTTGCTATTATGCATGTTGCTTAAGATTACTCTCTTTCCTGTGCAGGCTGAGGTTGATGGTCAAAAAATCACATGGTTAGCGCCACATGCACGGCAACAAGTATTGACTGATGATGTTGACTTCAATGTCATGTTAACATTTTTGGAATTTTATGAGGTTACATCTCTCTCTCCCATGTATGCTAGTTTGTGCATGCCGATGAAGAATCTTTTTCATTAATGATGACCATCATAGATTGAATGGAAGAAGGTGTCTCAGAATGTCTGAGAAACATGGGCAAAATAAGCTCAAGTCGAACATAAATAGATGAGCCATTTTTTAAAATTTAAATTAACTATCAATTTTACTCCTCATATTTTCCATCAATGTTGCCTTACTACTTTCTCAATTAAGTTTTTGTCAATTTTTTTGAGCTAATTTATCTCCTGATACTTTGTTATCTGATAGTTACTTCAATTGATTGGCTTTATTTCTTTTTCATATAAATATTTTGGGTGCAGGCGCTTCTTGGCTTTGTCAATTTTCAACTTTATCATTCTATAAATGTAAAGTATCCTCCTATTCTTGATCCTCGGTTGGAAGCTCTGGCAGCAGGTTTGCATTATTGCTTACATTTTGTAATGAAACATACAGAGTTCTTTTCAGGGTTATTTGCAATTTTTCTTGGTGACTATGAACAATTCTTAAAAATTTCTTCCTCTTGCCTCTCTATGATAATATCAATTTTGCATTTCTTAATGCCACAGATCTATATGCATTGTCAAGGTATTTTGATGCAAATTACAGAGCCTCTGTACGAGAACCTCAAGTTGCTGGTTCATCTAGATCAGAGCAAGAGCTGGAGGAGTCTGACTTAAGACTTGCTCAACTTCAGCATCAACTGCCTGCCAATGAACCTGGTGCACTGATGCACCTTGTTCAAGACGCAGCTAGTGAAATTGAAGAAGATGAAGCTACAAGGGAATGCAAAAAACTTTTTCAAAATAAGAAAATTTTCTTGAGTCGTGAGGTGAGATTAATTGTTCCTGGCTGAAGTTTTATATCAAGTCAGTGTAGGTTTGCTGTTCTGTTTCATTAAATAATTTTTTTCAATTCGATGAGTATGGCTATAACAGTACAACAAGTGGCTTCCATTTCTTTATATCAGTTGATTTGTGTTGGAGTAGTTCCTAATTCTTATATGGTCAGGTTCCAAGAGAGTCTTTGCTTTTTGTCATTCCTGCTTTTGGAGGTATTGTTTCTTGGGAAGGAGATGGAGCTCCTTATGCTGAAGCTGATGATAGCATTACTCATCAGGTGCGCCGATAAATGGGCCACACGTGAGATTTGCATGCACCAATGAATTTTGATTTTAGGGAATTCCATTTTTTTTTTTGTTTGTGTAGATTGTTGACAGACCAACCCAGGGTCATGTATACCTTTCAAGAGAATATATTCAACCGCAGTGGGTTTATGACTGTGTAAATGCACGAATAATCTTGCCAACTGAGCCATATACGGTTGGGAGGTAAATTTTGGGAACTTACTCTTGAATTCTCTGTTTGATCTCTTAGTGTTGAACTTCATTGCTTTTGCTATGATAAAATAAACAACATTCAATTCTCATTTTCTAATAGATTGCATGTGAATCATAGTTCAGGAAGATTAACTTGATATAATTTGGAGTATGTGTACGCTATGGAATCAAAATGAATCATTTAATTGTAATTGAAGAAGGAATATTGTCTTGCTATGTCAACTCCATCAGCATTTGATATTGCTGTCTTCCTGCCAATAGGGATCCTCCTCCACATCTGTCTCCTTTTGTTGATGATGAGGCTGAAGGTTACATTCCTGATTATGCCAAGACCATTAAACAACTACAGGCTGCTGCAAAAAGAGATGTTCAACCTTTGCCTGGTACTGAAAATGATGACTTGGATAACTCTGAAAATATGTTGGCTGAAGGGTATATCAGTAGAACAAAGGCTATGGAAGCTGCTGAGAAGAAGCAACAGGTATGTAACTGGAGTTTTGAACTTATGACAATTCAAGACGCAATAGAGTTTCAAAATTTATATTTCTTCTGCTTGGGAAGATTCTAAGATATTCATGGTAACCTGAACTGACCACACAAGTTTTTGATTGGATGCAGATGATGCTTCTTGAGAAACAGTATCATGATGATTTGAAAATGGAACTTCAGGTTGTCTCAAGTATAAATAAGCAGAGCCCTGCAAAGGACATGGAGTCAAAGGAAGAATCTCTTCCTGATGTGGAACAAAGTGCCATTGGTACTGAGGATCCGTCAAGGCTCATGATGTCACGGAAAAAGAGGGGGCTTGCTATAGCCATCGAGGTAACCTTGATGGCCTTGTTATCATAGCTTTTGTCATGAACACCCAATTTTCCCTGTTGTCATAGTTTCATTTCGGTCAGCCAAGTTTGATCAATTGGAAAGTCTGCCAGCATAGATTTGTTTGACATGGATTCCATAATAGTAGTTTCTAGTAAACAATATCTTTGCACATCATTATTGGAATTTCATCTTTGGTGTGACTTGAATGTATTTCTCTTTGATCAGATGAGCAAGCAACGGAAGAAGGACCACGTCGAAAAACTCAAGGAGCGAAAGAGGAATATTGAAGCAGCCCAGAAATCCGAGAAGAAGCATAAAAAGGCTCAACTTTATTGATCTTTGTAATATTGTTTGGTTACAGAGCTAGTTAAAGTTGCAAGTGGTTGTAAGTTGAAAATTGCCAATTAATTTTGTGAATTGGATAAAATTTTGCGAAGTTATGAATGATTCGCTATTTAGATTTAATATATATAAAAAACTCAGTTCATATCTCTATAACCCTCATCTTGATACTCGCAAAAGCGGGGAGCCTTGTGTATAGGGGAGAGGAAGAAAACAACTGCTCGCCCTGCTAGGGCCTGCTGGAAGCCCAATGAAGAACTTGTTTGCTTTTACACCAATCACCATCACCCCATTCGCAGTAATTATTGTAGAACTGCATCCATACACAATCGAAAAGTTCTGTTGATGAGGGTTGCTCTGCAGCGCATCTCTTAGGGGTGACTCCAAAGGGTGATAACAGATAAAATCAGATTTAATTTGATATTTTCGGAGAATGCATAATATTAAGAATTTTTAAAATTTAATTCGAATTTGAATTAATTATACAAATGATGCTAAGCCAAATCAAATTTTAACAGTTTGATTTGATTTATTTATTTTTAATTTTTAATTTTTAAATTTTTATATATTATTTTTAATATATTTAAATATAAAATAATTATTTTATTTTATAAAACTAATAAAAATATATAATTCTTTCTTTAAACTTACAAGTATAACTCGTAGGCAAGTTTGAATAGATTTTTGAGCTTGAAGTAGATCTAACTTGACCCGAAGTTATTAGTATTTTGTCAAAAAATTAATATAATTTATTTAAATTTTAATTAAAATTACTTTTAAAATTATTAAACTATTAATATAAAAACATTTTTATTTCTTCAAGCTAACCCATAAACACTTTTACATTGGCATTGAGATAGGCCCAAGAATTCCTAGTTGGGCTCAATCAAACCCAAATTATAAAGTTGAGCCTAAAGCCTCAGGCCCAACCCAAAATCTTCTAATACATATATATAAACCCTACTCCACAAACAAAAAAACCCTAACCTAATATTTCTCTTTAGACACGGCAGCCAACCACTCAGCCTCCACTGATCCAAACCATGGGCCGCGTCCGTACCAAGACAGTGAAGAAATCGTCCCGTCAGGTGATCGAGCGGTACTACTCAAAGATGACCCTCGATTTCCACACGAACAAGAAGATCATCGAAGAAGTTGCTATAATCCCATCCAAGAGGCTCCGCAACAAGATCGCCGGCTTCTCGACCCACCTGATGAAGCGCATCCAGAAGGGTCCCGTACGTGGTATTTCTCTCAAGCTTCAAGAAGAGGAGCGAGAGCGTCGCATGGATTTCGTCCCCGATGAATCGGCTATCAAGGTCGACCAAATTGAAGTTGATGAGGAAACTCTTGATATGCTTTCGGTTCTTGGGATGGCTGATATCCCTGGGCTTGTTCCCGCTGCTGTTCCTGTTCCTGTTCCTCAAATCGGCTTCGGCCGCGGTGGTGGACCCGGGAGGAGGTTTTGAGTGATGGGTATTTGATGGGTTCTTAATCTCAAGTTATGTTTTTTTTTTCTGGGTAGTGTCTTTGATTGTGTTTTTTGTTGGAACAATGTTAGTTCTTATGTTAAATGGTACTGAGATTAATTAAGTGTGATTTGAACTTTGTTTTTGAAGGTATTTGAAATGGGTACGTTTAGTTGTTGGCATGGTTGATTCTCATTTATTCTATATTTTTTTTTCTTTGAATAGCATTTTGGATCTAAGCTGATGTTCAGCTGATGGTTGATTGAAATGGTGAATTTGAGATTAAGGCCCTATTCGGCATTCTGATATCTGGTTATAAGATGTTTGTTTTCAGTCACAATTTCTTGTTCTGCAATTTTCAATGGCAATTGCTAGTAAGAAACTGAAAAAAAATTTATCTTTGCTTTTTCAAGTTGAAGTAAGATATGGTTCAATTCCCAGGGCTGTAGTCTCTGTGCTGTGGCAATGGCACCTATCAAAATGTAGGATTGAATTCATTGTATTCTGTGATCATGGTTGGATATTACATATGGATAATACTGTAAAAACACAAACCAGTTTGGTTTCCTTACAGCAGCTTGTGGATTTCTCGATTGACTGGATTAGTGTTGGAGCTTGTAACATTGGAAATCTGGAACTGGAAAGTGTCTTAAGAATTTTGTATGTACGTGATTATAGCATGCTCAAAAAATTTGCAAAAACACTCCATTTGACAATCAATTGTCCAAGTATTTTATACAAAAAAAAATGAAACTGATCTTTCAATTTGCAGAAACCCACACCAAGACTAAAAAAATAGTATGATCAGAAACTATTTGACAGAAAGCAAAGCCCATACAAAACATCTAAGAAAATGTGATTCTTTACTGACTGAACTGGGGATCGATCATCTTCATTTCTCACTTCCCTTTGGTGATATTGGTTTTGATTCTTTTGAATGAGAAGATTTACCAGTAATTGCTTTCTTCACCTTGGAAATTGAATGCTTGACTTTCGATCCAACACCTGATAGCATGTTATGAGATTTCTTATGTGGTTTAGTGTCGGTATCTCTAGGTGCTTCTACCAACACGGGAGCATCCGAGCCAGAGTCTGTCTTATTATTTCGTTCATCTCCTTCCTCTCCATCCGTTTTTGCTTCTTTAACTTGAATGGTTTCTGCTTCTTCCTTGCTTACTGTTAGTTCCCTCTCTTCAACGACACCTTCAGCCACTTGCATTTTTTCTCTTGTGGATCTTTGGAGTAGGTCAGACAATGACAACTTAACCGAATCCACTGGTGCAGGTTCCTGGGTTATTTCCACACCTGAATTATCTGTCATTTTCTTTTCTCCAAGATCAACAGCTTCTGAACAAATCTCTCGTGCTTTTCCAGGTTCCAAGTCTCCTACTTGAGGTTTCTCTGAGGTTTCTAAAGCTCTATCCTGCTGTTCTGTTGGAAATTGTTCCTTGCCAATTGAACTTGTTGACCTGCTGCTTTCAGTGGGGTCTGCTTCTCCTGGAATCTGTTTGCCAAATATTACATTAGTCATATGTCCAAGCTAGATTCCTGATATAAAATGAAAGATTGCTCTTACTAGACTGCATTCTCACCTCTTCCCTTACAATTGTGGCTTCTTTCATGCCAACTGAAGCTTGTTCTAGATCCTTGACAGTTTTATCTTCAGCAACGATCTCTTTCTCGATATTTTCGTTTGCCCCATGCTTTACAGTTTCCACAGAGAGCTGTTTGTAAACTAAGAGTCAATATCAAAAGAGAGAGGCAAGAAAAGAACAAGAGGAATAAAGATGAGTGCTTGTATACTGACCACTTCATTTTGAATTTCGTATCTTGGGATTTTCAAGGTTTCATTTGTCTTGTCTCCAGTATGATCATCTTTTAGCTCATTTTCTTTGATGCCATCTTCAAAATGAGAAACTGAGTCCTCCTTAATCTGTCATGTTGGCTCCCAAAGTTAGAAGTTGTTGAGTTCATAAATTAATGATTACAGCAAAAAAAGAATGCATGAAATTATTAAGGTTTGAATTAGTTCTGTCTAACCTCTGTTGGTGGAGCCTGAACAGCAATAGTTTCTTGCTCCACAACACCTTTTAGCTCCTTGTTTTCTTCCTTTTCCAAGCATATCTCTTCTCCTGTCTTTGTATCAGAAGAAACTTTATCTAGAGTTTCCATTTCCTTCAGTTCCTTTTCTTCAACTGCATCCACTTTAGTTTTAACTCCATGTTCTTCATCAGAAGGCAATTTGGATAATGAAGCTGGAGATGGCTCCTCTGGTTTCTTCACTAGAAGAATTTGAGCAGCACCAGTTTCATCTTTTTCTTTTTTCTCATCAGTCATGTCTTGAGTCACTTGCAAAGTTTCCTTAGTGGAGCTCTCGACTTGGTCAGATGACGATGCCTTAGTTGAATCTTCCACTGACATAGACTCCTTGGTTATTTCTTCACCTGAATTTTCTGTCGTTTTTTCTCCAGCATGTTCAAGTACTTTTGGATAAATCTCTTTGACATCTCCAACTTCAGCAATCTGTGAGGACTCTGTAACTCTGTCCTTCAATTCTATTGGAACATGTTCCTTGCCAATTGGACTCGAAATCTCAGTTATCTCAATGGGATCAAATTCCCTTGGAATCTGCTTATCAGATGCTATATTAGTTGTTTCTTCTGATTGCTGACTATCATCAATTTTCTCATTACCTTCTGCAATGTCCTTGGTGCCTTCTGCCTGTGATAATACTATGCTTGATTCCTGATAAAAGATGAAATATAGAGCTGCTCAGAATGATTATTTCTATCAGTTATTTTCCTTACTTTATGATGTTTAGACTTCATTTGTGGCTACTAGAATGATTGAGAGACCTGATGAATAGAAATATAAAATAATGAAAAAAAAAAAAAAACATAATTCAAGCTTCAAGAATTTCTTCAAGCTTGGCCTAAACATAGTCTGACCTCTTCCGTTACTGTTGCGGTTTCAATCCTGGCAACTGATGCTTGGCCTGGATCCTCAACAGTTCGATCTTCGAAAACGATCTGCTTTTCAATTATCTCATTCTCACTGGTCTTTTGAGCTTCCTCAACGAGCTGTAATAGATTAAAGCTTCAATGTTAGATATAGAGAAAGGAAGAGAAGAATAAGATGAATAAAGTTAAGTTTCTGTTTCCTGGCCTCTTCAATTTGACATGTGGTTTCTAATGCTTCATTTGTCTTGTCTTCAATCAGTTGATCCTTTAGCTCGTTTTCTCCAGAGTCACCTTTTGTCAGCTCTTCCGAGTGGGGAGTTGAATAAAATGTTTCAGTAACTTCCTTGTCCTCCATGACCTGCCATTTTTGCGCCATTAGGTAATAGTTGTCAAGATAGAAACAAGAGTGAATATACGGAAATACATGAAATTATTAAAGGTTTTAGGCTAGTGTTGCTTACCTCTTCTTTTGAAACTTCATTCAGGATGATTTGATTTCCTTCATTTGTTTTCTCACACTGATTTTCTTCACCCCCGGTCTCATCTCCTCCTTTGACATGTTCCTCCTTGATTGCAGCATCTTCTGATTCAATAAATAATTCATTGTCTAAAGCCTTTTCAAGTGTCTCCATTTTGACATTTGAGGCTTCCTCAATCTCTCTTTTATGTTCAGGAATCTTCTCTGAACTTTCATCTTCTTGCAATTTTGTTTCCTTTGTTTCATTTTCTTGGACCTCAGAAGGCAATATAGAGGTTGTAACATGAAGTTGATCTGCTGGCTTCTCTCCTGGGAGAGTCTGAGCTGCAGTATCTCCTATGGCACCTTGAAGCTCTCTTGGACATTCTGATTGTGGGCTTGTCTCATCTTCCAGTGTTTCTGCTTCTTTTATTTTCTTTTCTTCTCTTAAAGTTCCATGTCCCTGTGATTCTTCTCCTATAATCTGACTAGCAATAGTTTCACTTTCCAACACAGCTTGGGGCCCCCTTGTGTCATCCTTTTCAGAGCGTATCTCTTCTACCGTATTTGCTTCATCAGAATCTTCGTTTTGAATTTCTTCTTCCTTTACTTTCTCTTCTTCAGCCTTGTCAACTTCGTTGACAGTTTCATGCTTATGCTCATCGGATGGCAATGTGACAACAGGGTTTGGAATTTCCTGAGTTCTTCCCTTTTCTGGCATCTCCACTTCCTTCACTTTCTCCTCTTCTACCCCAATAACATTGGCTGTAGTTCCATGCTCTAGGTTCTCAGAAGGCATTGCATATGATGAAGTTAAAGATTGCTCATTTGGTTCCTCAGCCTGAGCAGCAGCAACAGTTTCATCTTTCATAGCACCTTCAAGCTCCTGAAGCTCTACTCTGTCCAAGCATATCTCTGCTGTTTTCTTTGCATCAGGAGAATCTTCTGAAATCTGGTCTGCAATTTCTGCTTCCTTTATTTTCTCTTCTTCTGTCTTCTCAACAGTGCTTATATTTTCTCCCTTTGGTTCCTTGGAAAGCAAGTCGGAGCTTGTTGTCCCCTCGTCTGGTTTATTCGCTGAGAGAGTCTGCTCACCAGTTATTTCATCTCCTGTAACAACATCTACCTTTGTGGTCACTTCTTCCTTTGTTTTGTCATATTCTATCTCCTCGCTTATGGCTCCAGTTCCATGCTTCCTTTCCTCGGAAGGCAATGTGGTCTGAATTGGCTCTTCTAGTTCCTCTTTTGGAAGACCCTGATCAACATTTTTTTCTTCCTCTGAGACAGCCTTAGACACTTCCTTTTCCAAGCATACCTCTTCTGTTGTCTTTGAAGAATCTTCTAGACTCTTATGTTTTGTTTCAGCATCCTTCTGTATCTTTCCTTCTATCTTCTCAATTGGGGGTACAGTTCTTATCTCTTCATCCTCAGAAGGTGTGGAGGCAGAAGTTTGAAGTTGCTCCTCTGGTTTCTCTTCTGGGAGACTTTTGTGGGAGCTAATATCATCTTCCACAATAGTTTCAACTCTTTGAGGTAAGTAATTGGATGATGTTTCTGGTACACCTTTGGTTTCTTCGACTTCATTCGCTTCCAGTTCTTCTGCTGTTAAGCTTTCCTTGGTTTCTGCATCTTGTTCAATGCCCTTGTCTTCAAAAACATGATCTCCATCCACAGGTGATTCAATTTTCCTCGGTTCATCCGCATTCAAAGTTGGACTTTTCTCAGCTTCATCAATTTGATCCCTGGATATGTACACTGCATCAGGATCTCTCTTGATTACCTCAGCTTCATCCTTGTCTACAGTTTCCACATTTAGAATCTGCTTTTCCACTTCTTCATTGTCATCAGTTGGGGCTTTAGGTGCCAAGTCGGGTGATATTTCTTTTAGTTGCGTCTCTTTAATCTCATTAGTTTCTATATTCTTCTTCATTGAGCTGATATTCGATGTATTCGAAAGCTCCTCATTCACCTCAGTGTCGTTTAAGCTTGTCTCTTCTCTCAGTTTTGCCCCAGATTCAATATTATTATCCTCTTGACACCGTTTTGATTTATCGACAATGTCCTCCTTAATTTTTTCTTCTGATTCTCTGTGTTCACCAGGCACACTTAAAGGGTCCTCTGATTTGTTTGCTTCTATCTGTTCCTTGAGACATTCAGGTGAGACTGAACTATAGTCTTCCACCTGTAAAAAAATAGTTGAAATGTTTAAGAACTGAAGAAAAACGGAGCAACAGATTAGAAAAAAAAAAAAGCTATTATGAATTACTGAGATGACCTTATTAATTGTTTCATCTCCTTTTGATACTGGATGAAGTTCATTTGTGCAATTTTTTTCCTCCATGGCTTTGTTGAATGGACTATGCTCTGGAGTCTTATCGATAAGCCGTTTTCCTAAAACCTTTCTACAACCGATGATGCTATTTGAATTTGTTGACAGTTAAAAGCTAAATCTTGGCTGGCATCAGTGAAGCACAAGCAACTGGTCTCATGAATCTTGTGTATCACTTCATCGGATTTATTCCTTACAGATCAAAAGAAAATAGTAAGTAAAGATGCTAAATCTAATGTTTATCTTGAAAATCAACTAGTTTTTTAAAAAGGAAAATGGGATCTAAAGCTATTGCTATATCGAAAAAGCAAAGAAAAGACCAGATCACCTCTTCTTTTAGTCTGTATGTCAATTAAAAAAGGAGATCACCTAGACTTATATGTTTCATCAGGAAAGAATAACAAAAGATCTCAGAGATCATCCAGTTTCAAGTGTTTCAAGAACATTGAAAAGCGCTATTTAAAGATGAAACCTGATGCATGATCACCTTTTTGTGTTCTGAAATTGCAGTATCCTACTTGACAGTCAAGTATGCTATGCAGAAATAAACACAAAGCAAAGTACACGCAATAGAGGAAAGGAAAGAAGTATACCACTAAAGAAATAGCTTCTGGAATGATTTCTGCTTCAGTTGCCATCTTTTCATGCTTGAATTCAAATTTGAAAATACCAAAGAATCTGCTTATGATTTGAAACTTTGATAACTGTGAAGTAGTGGTGGATTGTTAGATATCTATATTAATCTGCTGATATAAAGTTAGAGACATTGTTTAAAGTAGGCTATTAGCTGACAAATGCCACTTGCTATGTGCTAATACACATGCTGAGTTAGCCATATATGTAAATTGGCCCTACTGATTGGTCACTCACATGCGTTGGGTCCTTGGGATGGCCGATACAGCTCTGTTGAACATGCAAAATATTATCTTTGGGTTAGATCAAATGGCTCAGAAAGAAACTGTCAAACCCTTTTTAACAGTTGCCTTTTTTTTTTGTCTGAAGGCTATGTGATGATCAGCTGTCTTGTGGGGTTCCAACACCTTTTGTAAATACAAATTGGGACCAGTTCTTAACAACTAACCTTAAAGTTGTGTCCATAACACAGTTAACTCTCCTTTTTCTTTACTTTGCCATTTCCTTTTTGGCCAGCCGTGTTCAATACAACAGAAAAACACCACCAGGCTGTAAAAAAATCTGCATCAAGCTAGGTCTCGTTAGAGTCTTTCCAGGGGAATTTTTTAAACAAAATTCTCAAGCAACGAGATAGATTGGATTGTTCTAGAAGTTCAAAATCAAGACAAAAGGTTATATTGATTTGCTGCAAAACTAAATTAAAGTCCATTCTCCCGTAGCAGTGGAGTGAGATTGAAGCAGAAGCTGCAAAACTAAATCAAGACAAAAGCTAGCTTGGAACATGTTTTCATGCAAATAATAATCTAAAAATTTGTTGCCTCTATATAAAGCATAACATAATATTGATATCAAGGTTTTCTAATTTACCTACTTGAAACAAAGAAAGATATCAATTTACTTCTATTTCGGTTTAAAAGTAAAAAAATATAGTAAATGTTGAAATTTAAACTTCAATATGTGTGAATTAACTAAAATAAAAAACAGCTTAAAAAGAAGAAAATTTTCAATATTGATAGTGGTTGTAAAACAGTAACTTTTTCATGAAGAATTTTTGAAGATTATATTAACTCATGATGACAATGATAATAATGATTTTTAAGAATTTTCAAACCTAAATCTTATCTGAAGAAAGCATAGGAAGAATCTTCAAATATATTTTAATACTATAATTGTCTTATATATAATATGTATACATATATATATATATACAGTCACAGTTGGCTACTTTGGTTAGGCCCAATCATATGGTGCCCAAGGAATCTGTCTCACTAACTACGGACTTCCAATAATAATAATAATATTTTGATGGAAAAAAAAAAGGGTGCTCTTGTCTAAGTATTGGTTGAAATTTTGATCCAAAGATAAGTATGTTTTGACGGTAATGGCAATGCAATTTGTAAAGAAAGGATGTTGAAATTGAAATGTCCATGAAAAGAACATTAAAGGGACAGCTTGCTTGATATGCCATGCCTCAATTATTATTATTATTATTATCATGCATGTGGTTCTAAATAATTTGAGGTTTGAAGCTTGAAAAAGTCCAAACTATTGAGTCAAAATTATTGGTCCAATTTAAGTCATGTAGGCAAAGTAATGTTCAAAAGTCTTTCTAAGTCTATCATTAAAGAGCAAATTGATGTATACGAAAAATGTAAAATAAAATTTAGAATTTAGGTCCATTGATTTTGAAGAGTTTCGTATTTAATTTATGTGATATAATTTTTTTTAATCTGAAATTTTCATAATTTTATCTCGTAAAAAACATTTTATAAGTTTGGATTAAATTTTTTATATCATAATAGATTTATAAAATATTCCAATGTGAGATTAGAGTTTTATAAACTCTTTTGTTAAAACTTAACATTTTCATTAAACCCAACACAATTATTTATGAGAATTTACAATCAACTTGTAAAATATTATAATTTTATTTTATAAAAAATTTCTCACAAATTTAAATTTAAATTTAAATTTTATATATTATAACAATTATTTTAATATCTTTATATGAGATTGAAGTATCATAAATTTATTCAATCATTTTTAAAATATAATATTTAATAATTTTAAATTTTAATAATTGCGAGATTTTGTTCTGTTATCACAATAAAAACTCTTAAAAAAGAAAAAAAAATAGTGAAATACAGGACTTTTCGATAGTCACATCGGCTTCTCATTTGATTAAAGAGAATTCTTAGCTGGCAGGTTACAAGTAGATCGAGTTTTAAATTATCTGTGTATAATTGTTTCATACATGTCACTATTTGAATTTTCAAATAAATAAGTGTTAAAGTTAACAAACAGATCAAACATAAAATTATTGTCTTTGTCTCCCCGCCCCCAATGTGGATAAACAAAGATACCACCAACTTGGGTTTTGCCTTTTGAGCTAATATAGAGTTTTTTATGTAATAAAAATAATTAACAAAATAATTGAGAAATTTTTTAACTTCATTATTATTGCAAAGGAGATAGGATCATGAATCCATATTTTTATGATAAATTACACGTTTAATCATCTGATTTTAAGTTTTTTTTTTTCTTGTCACGAAGAGTGTGTTGTTTTGCTCATGTTTTGTTGCACATTGGCTGGTTTTATCCACCAATATGAATTCTGGGCAAACCATGAACTTGGTTGGCCATGTCACTGTTCAAGGACCATAGATAATGGACGGCTCTTTCTTGGGTCCAACTTGATGTGAACTGCTCTTTGGTCTTCGGCTTCCATATCTCATTTGTCCAAACCCTTGATAAAAGGGCTTTGGTTTTAACCCAATTTTGAACCAAAATGGTATATGAATGAAAATGGAACAAACCTTTTATGACATTGTCTCTTTAATTTGAACTTGTCCAAAAACAATGGCTAATAATCTTGGAAAATAAAAGTGTTGGTGTCAAGCTGCCTGTGGGGGTAAATATCTGAACACACAAGTGAAGGAGGTCATTCAATGATAAAGGTTAGAAGTTTATCCGATGTTTGTGTTCCGACGTTCAAATATCAATCAAAGAATGAGAAGAAGACAAAAGTAAAATGCAGATATAAAAATAGGTGCTTTAATTAGTTTAATGGCATCTAAAAAGAGATACTTATATCTATGCGATGGAGATTTTGGACCTAAGTAACTCGAGCTCAAAGTAATAAGGTTAGATTTAATGTTATTAGTCCAAGTCGAGTTGATAATCAATAACTCAATCGAATAGTTATAAATTAATATTTTCATGTAGTATTAGATAATCAACTAAAATAATTGAGCTTATGTGAAGCTTAAAAATTAAAGTTGGCTCAACACGTTAACTCAACTAAATTAACTAAATTACCCTTGACTAATAGGTGGATGGTTCTAACAAAAAGCCTAAAATTATTAATGAAAATCAAATAGGGGACCCAAATGAGAAGACAAGCATGTGATTACAACCTCAAAGAATATGGGGTGTGGCTACCTGTCTGAAGATGTAGATGGAGCCATGTCAGCTAACTTGTTTGTTTTTGGATAGATGGTCAAGGCACGCTGTGGCTGGGGCTGGGGATGGCGATGCCGTCCATTGGCCAAGTGCCATCCCTGACCACCAAAGGGCAAGAGGGACCAAGCCAAAGTCGTCATTTTTGTGAGCATGCATGCTTCATATACCATAAATATGAAATATGTGACAACTTAGAACCTTCCTTTTGTCTTTGTATTGTTTCCACAACAAACATTCAACACCCTCCAAATTTTGTTCATTTGGCTATTTGTTTTAAAACCCGATCTTCTTGACATAAGTGATATTAAATTCGAATTATATCGATAATTTTTTATTTATGTTAATATCAAATATATGATCTTACATTTGTAAAATATGAAATATTTTATTATAATGTTCGAAATTGAATAAAATTTGATAGCATTTTTTTTTACGATATTAATAGTATAATGTAAAGAGAATTATTGAAATGAATTAAGAAGAAAGGAGTAAAGAGGATTGTGCCCTCCTAAAAATCAATAATGTTAAAACAAAGTGCAAAATCGGAAACTAGAACAAATCTTGGCGGGAAAAAAAGCCGTTGCTCATTAGACTACCAAATTAAAGGCGCCAAAAAATTTTTGTTTACTCGGTTTTCCTGCCCGTAAACTTCCGGGCAGCCACCTTTGTCTCTTAAAAGAACAGCTTCTCTTTCTTATTTTTCCCTCAAAAACTCTCTTTTCCCCTCATTCAAAACTCTCTCCTTTTCTTTTATTCCATTCTCTCTCTGTTTCTTCGTGTGTTTTGATTCCTTTGGTAAAAAAAATCTCATCTTTTTCTCTTCTTTGTTTTCATTTTCTGGCTGATTTTAGCCAAAGGCAACAGTTTTCCATGCTCTGGCTCTGCTTACTTTGACTTGGATTGATCTGTTTTTGTTCTGTTTTGAGCCATTCTCATAAAAAACTAGCCATTTTCTCACTTGGGTTGTTTTGATTTTGCTTCGAAACCCCTTATTCTGTTCTGATTACAAATGGGGTTCTCCAAAAAACCACAAGTAGATGGAGTATTAGACTCTGAAGGGAAGAAATGGGTGATAGCCGGAATCCTCATAAGAACTTCGTTGAAGCCAATAAACACGAAACCAAGAGGAAAAGAAAGTGAAGAAGATGAAGATGAAGCTTGTTCAACAACTCCAACTTCAAAAGAAGCAAGAATACCAAGCAAATTACCTTGTCCTCCAGCTCCAATAAAGCGTAGGCCTCCCTTAAGATGTCACTATAATGGAGTTAGGGAGTTCTTCACTCCTCCTGATTTGGAAACAGTATTCAAGCCCCATGTTGAGAGAGCAAATTGAGTTTGAAATTAGTTCTTGTTAGAGTAAAAGTTTGAGTTTTAGGTTAGGAGGTTTTGTTGTGCTTTTTTATGGGTCTTTTTGCATTAGTAACTCTTTCTCTAAGCCAAAATAGTGGAGAGGAGTTTGAAGGTGTACAAAGATATGATATTTTTAGCAAATGAATAGTGTAGTTTAGTTTAGTTCAGTTCAGTTGAAGTTTTTTTTTTTTTTTTCTTTTGATAATACTACTGGCTAGTAGTTCATCCTTCATACTTTATCTCTGACTTGGTGCTTGTAATGGCTTGTACTGGAATGGTTTGGATTATGTTGCTTCTTGTACTGTTTTAGATGCTTGAATTGAAGCTTGAAGATTACAAGATTGATGGTGATATTCAAATGAAAAGTTTTGTTTTTTGGTTAAAATTATTGGAGGTTTTGGTTTGGTGATTCAAGTTTAGCTAGAGAATCTTGTACTAGTTTTTGCAGGTTCAGCCACTGACCAGTGACCACAGTTGCCTGCAAAATTCATCACAAACTTCTCTAGTTTTTGGTCCATCAAATTCTTTGCTATATTTTCTGGTCAGGGCAGGCTCTCTCAGTAAATGATTGACAGAGATTTGCAGTAAATTAATGTCAAGGGATCCTTGTTTCAATCTTGCACTGCTTCCAATTTTCTTTCAACTCTCTCTTTTTGTGACTCCACACAAATATACACACGTGTAGATTAGTTCATAGGGTTTTGTAGCATACCCAAATCCAAAAGCTCTCAACGTATTGTAAAGTAAATCTTTTACATGGCTGAGAACAATGCTGCACTAATGTTTCAACCATAAAAAATTTTGAGATCGACTGTGACCAATCCCTCTATTTTTCTAATCTTTGATGTTATGTCAAAATTAAATATGATAATTTATATATTCGTATAGTGTAATATATTAATAATTTATATATTTTTATTATATTTTATATAAAAATTATATATTATAATTTTTATTAATATAAAAATATAAAATATATTTTTTTAATTTTATTAAATTTATTTAGAATTTTTATTAAAATTTTAAATCAGTGTTATATTAATATATCATATTTAAAATTATAGATATAGTCAAAATCATCTTTAATCTTCCTTCCTAAATGCCCCACTTAACCTGACCCACCACTCCTTCCTTTGAACTCCATGGCAAAACCCAAGTTGCTGCTTTCTCTGACTATAAAAGGACAAAGTAATATTGAGTGGTAGATTAGAATCCAATGTGGGGTTTTTGTTTTTTTGACAACGAGAAGCTCTTTTAGCTCTTTAGGCCTTGATTATATCAGTCTACAAAAATAATATTGAAACTTTAAATTTATATATTTCCAGCTAATGAAGTCTTTGTCTCCATGGTATAGCAAAGGCATAAATCTTTAGACCATTAGGTTTTCAACTTGGTTGACTATATTTCTAATGTTTACCATTGAAAATTTGTGCTTTCCAGTTTTGGACGAGTTAAAAAAAAAAAAAGAAAAACACCATGGAATCCAATGCAGGACTTGAAGAGGGTGTCAGTATTTTTCAAAGCACTTGATGGCTGGTGCAGCTTGTGAACTTAGGGTTTTATTATTTCAAAGCTGATGTGTAAATGGTGGATAAGATTTTCAGTAATGCTTATCTTACAATAAAAAAAAATTTATATTGCTAATAAAGTTGACGAATATAATTAAGGTTTAAGATTTGAATGTAAAATATTTAAATTTAAATTTTTATAATTTTTTATTATAAATGATTTATAAATTTAAAAATTTTTTAAAAATAATACATAAATATTTTTTATGAATTGACGAGTTCCGTTAACGTCGAAAATAGGACAATCTACCCTACTCTTGATAATAAAAAATCATCTATATTTGTTTACAAATGGAGTAGACAGGATATCCTGTGAATGGTCAAGGGATTTGTCTAAAAGATTATAACGGAGCGGGGACTCGGATTTGCCTCCATGATCAAGGGTTTTCTTTGCATATTAAACAAAGGTTTTTCTAGGGATTAGCTGCCTTTATGAAGTAAAGCTTGCAAAAAAATTTTAAGGTATTAACTTTGTCAGATTCTAACACTACAGTTTTCACCCTGACTGTGTAAATAAATATCATATGAACTTAGCTTGTCTGAACTAGGTTTCTTTTAATTAATTACTTACGGCTTTTCCAGTTGTCCAGACATAGGAAGCAACAGATTTTATCTGGCATGATTCTATTTGGATGGACAATTAATTAAAAATAATAATAATAATTATAAAAATAAATTATTATAATTATAATTAAAAAATTTTTTAAATAAAAAATTTATATTAAATAAATTTTAATAAAATTAATATTTAAATTCAACTTATAATTCAATCGTATCATATTAAAAATGTAATAAAATCCAAACATAGCCTAACTCTATTTCCTCGTGCTGTGTACATACACTTTAACACCTGTGAACTCAACTGCTCTTTCACACAAAAAATTCACTTAAATCTTTAATCAGCTGTAGAATCCAAGGTTTTCTAAGGCTGTCCTTTTGTTCTTTATGACAATCCAAAATTCAAAAGAAAAGTGGAATTTTTTTTTTTTTTTGCCTTGCTATAGTTTAAAGAAAGGGCGGTTTAATACAAAAGAATAAGGAATTGTTTGAGTAATGAAAATAACTGCTCCTGTCTCATATTGTTCATCTCAAATGGACTCATTTATCACTTAATTAAAGCTAGCTAAGATCCAGGTGAATGACTTCTGCTTGTCCGGCTTCCAATCCTTCTCCAATCCTTCTCACCAAATTTTCTTGCCTGTGGGGACCAAATACACACAAACCAAACTTGATAAAAATTAGAAGTGTTCATTCGGTTAATTTAGTTAATTTTGAATCGAATTATATTATATTATATTATTTAATTAATTAAATTTAATTCGATCAGTTCAATTAATTTTTTGATTAACTGAATAATAAATATATTTAAGTTAAATTATATTTTAAACTCTTAAATTTCTCATATTTTAAACAAATTAAATAAAAATATCTAACAAAATATTCAAATATCAAAATATTATATTAAAAATTTTAATAAGTTATAAAATTAAATTATTTATTTCACGTATTTTTTATTTTATATTTGGATTACGTTATATTTCGGTTAAATTTTTGGTTAATTCGATTTTTGAACCGAATTAATCAAAAATCAAAATTCTTTTAAAATTATTTTTGTTAATCGATCAAAATTGATTCGATGACCGACTGATTAATTGAATTAAATCGATTCAGTTGATTAATTCGGTTAAAATCAAATTATGCACACCCCTAATTAAGACATTAAGATTAGTATTTTTAGTTTCAATTTATTACTCAATTTAATATCTTCTATTTCATGATCCATCAACCAAACTGCCATAATTATGACCTCAAATAAAAGAGCTAGATTGACCAAATTCACCTGAATAAATAAAGTATTTGTCACCATATAACGGTGTTTATTAATGCTAAAACTATAAATTAATATTGGGATAGGGATATAAATCCAAGGACTATCTTTCTTCAAACTTAGCTCTTCAAGTTTGAAAGGGTTTAGTTAATATCAAACCTAGGGCACACTAATTCTATGTGTGTTTCTCTTTTAACTTGGAATTGTTTAGCACTAGTTGGAGAATTATTGTTCCATTGAATACAATAAGTAGTGAGTTGAAATACTCAAAATCATTGGGCATCACTTTCTCCCACAAGATTATTGTTCCAAACATGTTTCATAGTTATGTCCAATGAAATTCTACAAGTAAATAAGAATCTTGTTTTTCTCTATATAATAAACCATGGCTAAAATATGAGAGTTGCAAACCTTGTGGACTAAAAGAAAAGTACTAAACAAAAGAATATATTGTGGGAATACAAAAAGGGAAGGAAAAAAAAAATCATTATCCTTTATAAAAGGAAGAAGTTTAGTTAGCTAGGGAATCATTAATTTTTTTCAACCAATTCGACCTACTAATTTGTGTGGTTCAAAGACTTATAATTCATTTGAATGGCAAATGAAAAATATTTTTTTAATATCGTTGCATGATTTTATCATAAAAAGACTTACATAAAATTTTATAATTAAAAATTTATAAGAAATTTCATGGTTAAAGTTTGTAAAATTTTTTATTAGAAATTAGTAAATAAAAATTTTAATAAAAAATTCAAATTGACAAATTTATAAAATTCAATATAAAGATCAATTATATGTAAAAAAAATTATTAAAAAAATTATTTATAATTTAAATTTGATTAATATTTATTTAATGATAAAAAATTTATGAATATTTTTATTTAAAATATTTATTTAATAAATATATCAAAATTTATTAAAAAAAATTTAAAATTTTATATAATGAAAATTTTTAATCTATTAATTTTAATTTTTAATTTTAATTTTTATCTACTCATTTTTAATAAAAGATTTCACAAATTTTATTTATAGAATTTTAGGTAACTTTTTTCCTAGCTTTTATCATTGAATCTTACAGATAAAATCTATGTTTTTTTTCCCAACTGAAAAAAAAAATCCCCATAAAAATAACTTTAACCCTATTGACTTTAATTGCAAATTACTGACTCCTTTACACACTTTACAAGATTTTGAAAATTAATGTAGAAAGAGAAGAAGAGTGGTCCGGAAAAAAGTTTAGAAAAAAGGTAGAATCCAATGTAAAAAAAGGGTTATAGGGTAGACATGTATACATGGGCAGACCTAGGAATCCTAAGAACAAAGAAGATTCTAAAAGCCATACAAAAACAAAATAAATTATTGTTGACAGCAGTAGTATCCTTGTTATTTGACAGACCAATTGTCAACTTTCTTTTACGGTTTGACGCGGTTTTGATTTCCTTTTGTTTTGTCCCTTCCGTTGGGGTCAGCCCGGAGTTTTTGTTTGGCGGGAAAATTGACTTAATGTACAAATTTTCGGGTTTTTTTCCCGCCAAAAGATTAAAGAATTTAGCCCGGGGCGGCTGGGCCTTTTATCCTGATACGAATCTGGGTAGTGTTTAAGGCGGCTGCCAATGTTATGGGCTAAATCAGTGGGTCCGCTGGGTTTTCAATCCAAACCACAGTGGTCAACAAGGTATCTAGTTATCATTTTCTTTTTTTAACATTAGCCAATATCATACAATAAAATCTTGCCTAATTTCTCTTTCATGACCCATCTTCTTTTTTCATAGAAATTTCATGCTTCGAATACCTAGCAATCTAAAATATGATAAATGACACAACATAAAAATAATATAAAAAAAAGATAACATGATTTAAAATTTTAATAAAAATTATACAAATTTAACAAAATAAAAAACATATATGTATGTAACTTTTGTATAAAACACAATATAAATACACAAATTATCAGTATTTTACACGATACAAATACATGTATTATCCTGGAATCACATACATGCATGCATGCATACAAATATTAATTTGTGTGTGGAAGAGTATGCACCTAAAAAGGGCAATTTGCATGTACAGATGCTTCCTCCTTGGAAACCTATGTGTACCTCTACGTTGATGCGCCACTTGAGCTTATTTGCACGCCCAGACTGTAGCTGCAAGAGGAAGTTTGGATCAGTTCAGCACAAAAGCAAATCATACCACCATTTATTAAAAGACCAATAACAAGTATGTCAAATCTCATTGTAATCCTGCCAGCCAACCGGCTAACTCCAAAATCAGACTCATAACGTCCAAGTTCCAGAACATTGTGTGGCTTTGACAGACAACAATCCCTTGTGTTCTCCGGATTAAGTACCTTTTTTTCATTAAAGTTTGCAGTTAGGTAAGAAGGCAAACATTGAACTAAAATGCTCTTGATCTTCAATTTGCATGTCTGAACAGAATTAAGGCGTGTCAACAAGTATGAAGCAAAATGTGCATGCATAATACCCGGCATGGCAAGTGTATCATACCAATGAATAGATATGTAGCACTGCTTCATGCCGAAATAGACTCAATCCACATCCAGAAGTCACCAACATTGAGACTACCAAAACCGTCAAGCATCCCTTTCAACAGAAAAAAAGCAGCTGGAGGAAAAGCAATAAGCCCTAAAAACAGATTGCAAATTATCCTCGAAGAACTTCTCAAACTACCAGCTCTAATATCAAGCTTTAAAGGTCGAGCCAACAAACACATTGGGACCATCAATAAAGCACCAATTTCTGCGGTAGCAAAATTAATAACTGACATAAGCCCCAAACCAATGAACACTGATGAGATAGTTACCGATTTCACAAGAGCCCATTCTTTTTTGTGAGATGCTCTACCACAAGATAAAGGAGAAGCTAGAACTGAGTACAGGGTGAGAAGGCTGAGCATTGAAAGCAAAACCCAGATCATGAAGCTGGCTGTTGGGCAGCAATCAGGTATTTGGCAGATGAAACATTGAAGTAATGAAACAATAGCACCCCATAAGCGAACAGCAGAAACTAATTTGCCGAATTAAGACAACTCCATGATCTGATAGTGATAGCATGCTCATCAGTATTAGTGATTGCAGATGTTGTGGAGTTATCACTTTTTGAACAGTTGCCCAAACTACTTGCATCAACATAGAGAGAAGCCATTACCATTGGAAGTGGTGCCAAGAGAATTGCAAATGCAATCATGTAAACCCTACTGACACAAACTAACTAGGAGATGTTAAAAGGTATAAGAAAAATGATTGGTGAAACTTCTCAAGGAGGTTATTTACTGATCGTATAGCTCCTTCAATCAACCTGCACCAAGCAACATGAAATTCTTCAGAAAAACAAAAGTTAAAAACAAAGTTATATATAATGATCTACAAATTCTGAAACCTAACTAGAGGCAAAGACCAGTCTATAGAATTTCTTAACTACAATCATTCGCATCACTTGGAGTTCAAAATTTCTGGATAACCTCTATTGAAAACTACTTACTGATGAGAACTACAATAATAAATGGAAATGGAAAGCAATGGGAAAGAACACTTACCGGCCACCTCTTGGAAGAATGTCATTGCGCCAGACTTCTATCTGATGAAAATTTACATAAAATCTCTAATGTGACTACATCAACTTGGTAGTCACGGAAAGCACCATGTGGGTCTTTTGGTACACCTAGAGCCTAACAAAACAAAAGCAATATATGGATAGAGAGAGAAAGTAAACATCTGCTCAATGAATAAAGACAAACACAAATTTGCAATTCCTTAAATTTTCCTTCATCCATTTGATAAAATTGGAAGTAGAATTGTGACAAATATGAACCAAAAATAAGGAAAACAATGGATAAAATCAGAGAAAACCAAATAAGAACAGTATTCTACCTGATAATACAATGAACTTGCAAGTGTAGCAGTGCCTTCAATATACTCTGTTGCAGGGATGCCAAATTTCCATTCAGGATTTAAGCTTTTAGCTACTTTTCCCAGAGATTCAAAGATTTCACCCAAAATTTTGAGCCAACTGGAGTTAAGAAGGGACCACAATTTCTCCACCTTTACATGCAAACCTTGCCTCTTTGCACCCCCAAATAATTTACAACATTGATGAGGTCCAAATTTGGCATCTGTCCATTAGATGCCTAAGCATAAATGCTGATAGTGTCTTCAAATTGTTCACTTTGATCTCTGACCTTCTGGACGAGAGCAGCCGCCATAGTCCCAGCACATCTAAAACTATTGGAGAATTTACTTCCAGCAATAGACTTAACTTTCAACTCATAAAGCTTATTAATATCTGGACACATCTAAGCATTTAGAGTACTCAGGCTGCTAAATTTAGGAGTCTGATAATCTCTTAACAAAGCACCAACTGCTGCATATTCTCCACATCATGAATCAGCAACAAGCTACATAATATCTCTAGCTAAGCCATGTAACTTGAGTGAGCAAGGAAAATATTGAGTATGCAATGCCTACAGTTAAAGCCACAAATCAAACATAAAGAACACAGAGCCAACAAAATAAAACACTGTCATGATATAAAAGATGGACTTATATCAGCTTTTTCTTTCCGTGGATGCATCGAACCATTCCATTTTGTCATTTTTGCATCCAACTAAACAGTTAAGTTCACTCAACTTCACTTCAATACAGCTAAATTGTTTAAACTGAAACAGAAAGCAAGGAAAATGGAGAGGGAACCTGGCATGAGGACATTTTCGGAAATGTAAGTGTTTTTAACAATAACAGGTAAGAAACTAGTGTTAATTGAAACATAACATAATGACCTCACATAAATAATAATTATATATAAATTTAATAAAATTATAAAAAATTATTTTATATTTTTATGTTAATATAAATTAAAATATATAATTTTTATATAAAATATAATATAATACACAAAATTTAATATTTTACATTAAATACGTACGATCATCATGTCATGCAAAATCCCAGCACTGCAGCAAACGACACTGAAATAAACATCAAAAGATTCAAAACGACAAACCATTAATAATAACTGATTTAAAACAAAAATGAAACAAAAAAAAAGATTAAAATTACATAAATTGGAAAATAAATTAAATTTACCTGAATAGAAAGCCGTGAGAGATGAGGAAGACCCGAGGCGAACGATTGGCTTTACTCTGGGCTTCAGTTTTTCGTCGGTCTCGCTTTCTGTTTAGTTTCGGACATGGTTGGAGAGCTTTGATTTGGTGATTAAAATTAGACGTTGAAACTGAGAGATTACATTAGCAATCTTCTCAGTATGAACTGTGAAGAGCTAAAATGAGGGAGCGGAGCTTGGAAGGGCCGCCGAGGAATGGAAGAAATGGAAATCTTCGAGCTTGGAAGAGAAATGGATCGGATCGGAGGAGAGTGATTCCAGGAGGGTTGTTTTCGGCCCGTCTAGCCTTTTTTTTTTTTACTTTTTGCTGATTAACCGGCCCATTTTTTTTATGATATATAAGCTCTTTTTTTTTTTGCTTTTCTACAATAATAAAAAATAAAATGAGTTAAAATATAAAAATTAAATTTTATAAAAAAATATGTAATTCTTATCCATAAAAACTGTTATGAACTGACTTTTTTAAATTACAATTTAAAACAAATTAACATTTTGATCTTATAGTTTACTTCTAATAATATTTTATTAATTTTCTATTAATTATTTGAAATAATTATATTTTGACAATTACATCATCAATATCTACACAAAAATTTATACATTTTTTGTGCAAAAAAATTTTAAATTATTTCTTAATTTGTGCAAGGATCATGCTAAGCTTTTTTATATTGTTTCAATTTTATTGAATGTATCCTAAAAAAAAATTTAAAATATGTGTTAGTCTCTTAAAAAATTACATTGACTATGCTAAAGTTTTGTTGTTCAATACAATCTAATCAAAATCAATTAATAAATGTTTGTTCAATTTTTTTTTTATATTTAAAATTTTAAGTGTTTAAAAAAATGAATTTTCACATTTTTATAACTAAAATTAAATTTCCAATGCTACCATTGAAGTTAGATTATTTACAGATTTAATTAAATTGATTTTAATTATTATATATTCTTTGTTTAAAATAACTTCCAAGAAAAAAAAAAACACTTTAAAATCTTGCATTAATAACTTTCTTTTTTTAGCCAATAACAACTGTTGGTGCTTTCCATTTCAAGGGTTTTATTTGTAATTTTAAGGGCTTTCCTTTCGTTTCAAAGGTTCAAAGGTTCAGAGTTGAAACTACAAAGCAAATAATTTTAGGGCTAAAGTTTCTTCCTTTTCGTCTCTCCCAAATTTCGACTCTGCCAATGGACCCTCGAGACGGTGAAGCAATTCTTGACGGCGAAACCAACGATTTCAGATCATCTGGCCATCCCGATGATGACAAGTCTCACCCTCACACGGGAGATGGAGCCAGTCCTGGGTAAATTTCTTTTCCTTTTTTCTATTCGTTTCCTTAAAAACTGTAGGGAAAGTGAAGGAAAGTCTTGAGATTTTGGATTATCCATTACTTAATGACTCGTAAAACGAAATTTGACTGAAAACTAGAAAGTGTCGTTTTTTATATATATTTTTTAGATTTGCTCTGTTTGTTTCCTGGAAAAATGATAGAAAATAAGGCACTTGAGGCTTTTCTTCAAGTTTTATGCAAAGTATGATATTGTATGTCGTTGGGAAAATATGATAAAAAGGAAAGAAGGGATATTAGGGTTTTTTTTTTAAGACTTCAATTTTTGTAGGATTATTTTGATATATTTAGGTATTTGTTCCTTTGAAAGGGTCACTTTTAGTATGGATACTTTGGAAGTGATTTATGATTGTATTCAATATTTGGAAATTTGCAGCAAAATATTTGTAGGAGGTTTAGCGAGAGAGACAAATTCTGGTTAGTTCTTTAGCTTGGTAGAGATTTTTCTTAATGTCTTGAATATTAGCATGAAATGGTGGCCTCACCCGTAGTCTCCATAACCATTTGGTGCTTTATTTATTTTATGCAGCTCAATTTCTTGAGCATTTCGGTAAATATGGTGAAATTACGGATTCTGTGATAATGAAGGACCGAAAAACGGGACAGCCTCGTGGGTTCGGGTTTGTGACTTATGCAGAGTCTTCTGTAGTTGATAAAGTTATTGAGGACACTCATATTATTAACGGGAAGCAAGTAAGAATCAGCTTTAGTCTTAATGTTAAGTTGATTGTTCATTTCCTTACTGTAGTCCATTGCACACTACTTTAGTTATTGACTTGATGTACTGTTCTTTGTCTTGATTTTTGGCCTTCTAGGTAGAGATTAAGAGAACAATACCAAAAGGAGCAGCAGGAAGTAAGGATTTCAAGACTAGGAAGATTTTTGTTGGTGGAATCCCTTCAATTGTATCAGAAGGTGATACCTATCTTTTTCTTCTTTTAAATTATAACGGTGATTTTTTAGGGCATTTGACCAAAATGGTCTTGATTCATCATTGATGTTGTTGTAAGTGTTAATCTATTTGGTGCAAATGGGCAGATGAGTTCAAGGACTTCTTTTCACAATATGGAGAAGTCAAAGAACAGCAAATCATGCGGGATCATGCCACCAATCGTTCTCGTGGTTTTGGATTTATCACTTTTGAAACGGAGCAAGCTGTTGATGATCTCTTGGACAAGGGAAACAAGATTGACTTTGCTGGAGCTCAGGTATGTAGATTGCCCATTAAATTGAGTAGATTTATCTATATTTTCTTCTAACAATGCTGTTGTCATAACTGACCCTTCATGGACCTTGAATAAATGAGACATACATGTTAATCAAATAACTTTTTTCTTTTTGGTAATATTAACATAAAAAGTCCTCGTAATGAAGGTACTTTTTTGAAATACCACTGGTACCTATTTTTCGGGCTATCATTTTTTCTTGAGCTGTTATCAAGTGACAGCATTTCCATTGTTGTGTACCATTTTGCTTGATGGTCTTTAGTTTTAGATGTTAAAAAAATGCTTCTCAGGATTCCTCTGTTGCTTTGCTTGTTTAATAGTACTACAATGGTCCTTTTTGATGAAAAATAGAAGGGTCTAAATGAGTCTCATGATATTTCTCTTTACTTGTAGGTGGAGATCAAAAGGGCAGAGCCAAAGAAACCAAACCCACCCCCACCTCCATCCAAACGATACAATGATTCTAGGACTGCATATGGTGGTGGATTTGGAGATGCGTATGGTAGATATGGAGATGGTGGATTTGGTAGTGGTGGTTATAGATCAGGTGGGGCTTATGGGGGTCGAGCTGGTGGTTATGGGGCATATGGGGGTGGTGAATTTGGTGGGTATGGAGGTTATGGTAGTGGTGGTATGGGGCCTTACAGGGGAGAGCCCTCCCTTGGATACTCAGGTCGTTATGGAGGAAATTTTAACCGAGGCTATGACGTAGGAGGTGGCTACGGAGGCCCTGGTGAATTTTATGGGGGATATGGTGCTGGTGGCTATGGTAGTAGCTATGGTACCGGCCTTGGCAGTGGCTATGGAGGTGGTGCTGCTGGTGGTGGAAGTTCTTTCTATGGAAGTCGAGGGGGATATAGTGGTGCGGGTAGTGGTCGATACCATCCTTATGGAAGATAGAAAGGTTGTTATTGAGAAAACCTCTCATGAGGTTATAAATGTTGTCTCATTTTGTACCTTGTAGCTCTGTCATGTCATTATTCTTAGTTTAGTTTCTCTCTTGTTTAGAGTCTTTCAGATGTGAGGTTCAGGGATTTGATCATCTACTTTACCCTTCAATTTTTAATTTAAGCTTGACTGTGAGAGCTAAGTAATCTGGTTTCTGTATTTCTTCTTTGATTGACATTAACATGCAAATTCTGCAAGCTGTAAGATTGATTCTTGATTGAATACAGCAGGCAAAAAAAAAAAAAAAGAATTCTTTTCAATTTAGCTCCTATTTTCTTTCTGCTCCTTCCCTGTGCTCTTTTAAGTTTTACTGATAAACCATGCATGTAATTCTATTACTTTATTGAATTTGGAAATCAATAATTTTTTTAAACGAAGTATCATTAGCACAAACTGTTTTCAATGGTGCTTCAAATGTTGTAGAAATAAAATAAAAAAGGGGAAAATTTCCCAAATCTAGATTTTATTTCTAAATTTTAAAAATGTGGGAAAAGGCAAATGATGCACTGTCAGTGACAAATAGGCAAGCATTTTATTTTACTACCACACACAATTGCCCAAAATATCTCATCAGACCTCGTGTCAACTGGGTTGTGAGTCTAATCCGAGTTTATGGGTTTTCATTGGGTTGTGAGTCTAATCCGAGTCTTATGGGTTTCATTCTTTTGAATTTCGGATCGGATCAGATATTATTATTAGGAGAAAATCGGATTTGAGTTTTAGATAAATTTTATTCGATCTGATTTTTTAATTTTTTATTTATATATAATTATATATTTATATTTAAAAATAATATTTTATATTTAAAAATAATATTTTATTAATTTCGAATAGAATATAATTTATATAATATCAAATTAATCGGATTCAGATATTAAAAAAAAAATTTTTTAAATTCAAATCAAATCGAGTTTAAATTTTTGGATTATGAAATCGGATCGAGTTTGAATTCGAGAGAAATAAAAACTTATCCCGATCCTATCATTAGTGTCGACACCGTAATTTTAATTTTTTTATCTTAAAAAACTATCAATTAAAAGAAAGAGACAAAAATTTTGTACAAAATAAATAAATAATCTTCAAAATTCTTGGCTCTTCTTCTCTGTTTCAAGTTTTAATTTCAACCCCAAAAAAGAATAGGAAAAACCCAGAAAGAAAATGACAAAGTTAGCAGCATCAAATTTAGGTACATATCAAAAGGTGAAAACTTTTCTTTCTTTCTTTTTGGTTTTTAAAAATATTTCCTTTTTGTTCTTCAAAAAAAAAAAAAAAAGGAACCTGGGTGTCATTTACTTTACTGACAGACGCAGGGTTTGCAGGTAATCCGCAGAAGGAAAGAAAAAGTAAGAGGACATCACACTAATTACCCTTATAAAGTCATTGAAATTACACCCCCACCCAAGTCCCTTCGTGTTCGTTGCTTCACTCCTGTAAGTCCCGTCCCATTTTCTTGCCAGTAATTTACTGTCTTTTTTGTTGTCTTAATTTTTTTATCTAAAAATAAGTCATTTGGAACGTATGTGACTCAGACTCGGGGTGAGAGTCAGATCCATGTTTGTGTCCGACAATGTATATGTTCATGTTGTTCAAGCTTTTTCAAATATTTTAAGAGTCGAACTTAGGAATGTACTCAAACTGAGCCAAGTTAACATGATAAAAAGTTTGAAATTAAGTTTGAATTTGATTTAAATTTAATTAAATTTTAAATTTTAAATTTAAATTTAAATTTAATTTAAAATAAAAATTAAATTATTTAAATTTATTTAATCAAGTTTATTTAATAAAAAATAAATTTAATTTTCATATTTGATTTTAATGTATTTGAATTCAAATTTAAACTAGACATATATAAATATATATAAATAAAAAAATAATTTTTTAATTAAAATAATAAAAATTTAAAAATTCGCTCACGAGCATTGGTTTATTACCTTTAGTCGAACCTTCATACCATATCCGTACTTCAAGGAAATCGAAGAGGTGGAGCACATGGTTCAGAACTGTGTCTATTTTTACCACAATTTATCTTACAATAAATTAAAAGTGTGTGTTAAATTATGAAAATATATATATAATGTTCGATATAAAATTATATCCGTATTTGAATTGATATATATATTTATATTATATATAAGAATAAAATAATAATTTTTTAAATTAAAATAATAAAATATATTAAAATTTAAAAGCATTACTCGAGTCAAACATTAAAATACTTAAATTTAATTTGCTCGATAAATTTAATTATTTAAATTCAAATTTAATCTAATAATAATTGAACTAAATTCAAATAATTTATAAAAATTAATGTATTATTTACAATCCTAACAAACTTTCATATCATATCCGTGCCTCGAGGAGAAGATCAAAAGAGTTGGAGCATCATGATTAGGAACTGTATCTATTTTTGCCGCAATTTATCTTGCAATAGATTAAAAATGTTAGTATTAAATTAGGGGAAAAATAATGTTGGATTTAAAATTATGTGTTTTACAGTTGCTTATATTGATGGCATTCTTGATTTTTATTTTTTTGAAATTTAAGATCATTTAAACTAAGATCTAGAATAGAAGATATGTGGTGGCAATGTTAGTTTCTTGTATATGAAGGCAAAGGCTTCTTGTTTTACTCAATTCCGAAGCAAGGTGTAAGGCTTTAACATTAAGGTATGAGACTTTGGACTTTGGAGTCTTAATTTTGTGATTGAGGATGTAATGAAGTAAATTGAAGTTGAAGGTGTGACGTCTTCAATATCATTTTGAAAAAATAAACAGATATGATATAATATATATATAAATTTAAATTCAAATTTGTAAAAAAAATTTTATGAGATAAAATCGTGAGATTTTTTAATTAAAATGAATAATACCTCGTAAGTTAAATGCGGATCTCTATAAATAGTATCAGAATAATTATCAGTTGAACGAGAGTTGAGTTTTGTGTTATGCTTAATGGGAACGTCAAGTTTTAACAAAAAAATATTGTGACGCTCTTAATTCTACATTGAAAAAATATGAATTTGTAAAATATATTTTGTGAAATAAAATCGTGAGATTTTCAAATTAAAATGAATAATATTTCATAAATTAAATACAAATTTATGTAAAAGATGTTTCAGTACTGATCTTTTCTAAGCATTTTAGAGATTCTAGTTTGCTTAGGTGGAATTTAGCTCAATGTTTGGCAAAGTTTATGCAATGGCAAGCGTTTAAAAGCTGTTTCACAGTTGTAAATGTTGGATAGTTGACCAAATCAGATTGAATGATATGTTATCCGCTTTAGATGATCTCTTGTTTGTTCTTTTCCTTCTTTCCACTGATTTCGTATGATAATGATATTAGTCGCATGATGACAGCGAGACATTAAAAACTAATAATCAGGTCTAGATGAATGAAGTAAATGTAATGAACAATTTTCAACTGAAGAAACAGTAGTCAAAACAACAGAATGAGGTTCAAATAGGAAATGGTGATGCTAGGGACACTTTGTACTCTTTCTAAGCTTTAGATTTATAGTTGAATTTTCGTACATATAAGAAATTAAGATCGAATCATGTTAAATTATAATATAATTTTGTATGTATAATATAATTTTACATTGATCTAGTTGTGGAATGCATTTCCTCTGTTTGAAAATCCCGACAAATCTTGTGCAAATTATGTTATGATTTGAAGGGTATGGGCATGCTATCAGGGAGATATATATGTTGTGTTCTGTTTTATGCATGACTTATTAGAAGATGAAGATGGGTGGTCCATATATTGCTTGTAAATTTTCGGACAATGGAGCTATCTTGTTGTAAATGTCAAGGGACCTTCATCATGTGTTTCAGAAGCAGAAAAGCTAAGAATAAATAAGCCCTTATCTCTAATTCTAAGCACAAACCATACAGAACTTCAATGATCTATCTTCTTGTCAACATTGCTTCTCTGTTTAACAGGGAGGCGGGGACAGGTTTAGGGTTGCGAAACTAGGAAACCATTATGACATGATATCACAACTGAGGTATTTATGTTCGATTTCTGTCGGTTTTCCGATTGTTCCTTCTGCATCAGAATTTGCAATGTGGGGAGAGTGTGATGATCGAAGGCCAAACTTATACGATCTCAGCTGTAACTCACCGGTACCAGCTTCGGAAAGGAAAGTATGAACCTAGTGAGAAGAGGCTTGATGTTCTGTCTACAGGGAGACACATCTTAAACTTATATCTTGAAAGCTTACTAGAACAGTCTTGATGAACACATTTATGTCTACTTACAGAATACAAAAGAAGCAGTTGGATAATACTTAACTAATGTAAATGAATCCTGCAATTGGATAATACTCGTGTTTTGTATGTGTTAAAATTTAAAATTTAAAATTATTAAATAATAATGAACCACCAAGCTAGTTATAGGATTAGAACTATAAGGATTTGACATTCATGGTAATTGGATTTTCATGTATTTTCAGGGAAAAAAGGACATTGCCATGCAAACATATGCACTGTAAGGATTTGACATCCATGATACATCAGCTGTTTCTGTCATGTTAGAAGTGCTCTACTCGTGAGTGCAAGCATTATTGTCAAGTCCTAGATATTTTCATGTTCCATTTGTTTAACCCCAATATCTTAATCAACACCTCTGAATAAATTGTACTTCAAATTTATGCAAAATTAGATCTTAAACTTAAATTAAACTAAACCTTTTTTATAATCTTATACGAATCATAAGACTCGTCAAATTTTTTTCGGTTATTTTATTTTGTTTTCGTTTATTAAACTTATGATCGATTAAATTCTTATAAAGCATTAAAAATGACAACATTAACATTAAAATGTGTAAAAAAAATCAAGATCAAATAATCATTGCAATTATGACCATTCTTATAAGTTGATAGAAAATGTAACATTTTTTTTTTAGAAATAATATTTTCACTCTCCAATTCATGCTTATAATAAACCTGGCTACAGGAGATAATATAAGCCTCTCTCCTAATGGAGGGAGCGAATGATTTCCTACATTGCACACTGAAAATGATTGTTGGAACATGTTTTATGTGATTGGGTGAAAGGGGTCCCACAGATTTTGGACCCTGACAACCAGAATTACACGTGTCAACATCAGAATGCGTGATAGATACGATTGGCAACATCAAACATCCCTTCAATCCCGCTAGGGACCGTCCAATTTTAGAGGAATTTCTCCTTACCGTCAGATCATCATCAGATTCTCTGGTCAAGAAGAAGGTTAGTTAATGGGACCCAATTCAAGGGGTACCCTTCAAAAAAAAGAAAGGCATTAGGGGGGATTTTGCACTACCCAACTACCCTATGCCAAACATCGACCCTACAAAATTCCTTAAAGACCCTTAAGTTGGGTCCCACACATGACCCTACAAAGAACATTGTAGGACCCTCCAGCTTGGCACTTGACAGATTGGACATTTATTTCCTATTTTTTTGGTATAAAGAGATTGGGTCAATTGTACAAAGATCGTCTTACCCCGTTAATTAAGGGCGTTAATTACTACTAAATGGATGAGAGGGTGCCCCTAAAAAAATAAAATCATGGGTTATGTCACCCGTGGGTGCATGGGAATTTCATGACAGCCGTCCATGTACCTCCCGTTTATGTCCACGTGCCCGCATGAGGAAAGCTTTCCTCGTTCCCGCCAAAAAATAATAATAAAATATAATAATTCATAAAATTACTATTAATTTTTATACTATTTAGTTACCCTTCAAAACTTAACGACTATAAAATTAAATAAAAATTTATTAGTATTTTTCATATAAATAAACTCATAATTTAAAGAGTTAAGATTTAAATTGAAATTTTATTAAATATTATCTTTTTAAAATAATTAAATAAACTAATTAAATTAATTTTCTAATTCTACAAATTCTTACATTGTGAATTTAGTTCTTCCCTTCTATTAATGTATGATTCAAAGCTGTCTGATAAAATCATTGTCAATAAAAAATACAAGTAAACAATTGATAGCTAAATTATATTATGTGTTGGAAATTATAAAAAAAATGTTTTCAAAATAATTTTTTTTTGTTGATCAGTGCTTTTGAATAATCAAAATTGATTGAAATTGAATTATTTTGTACCTAGTGATTGTGCTTAGATTTTCTTAAAATAAACTAAACAATCTTATCTCTTTACAATTTATAAATTAATTTTTTTTGCCCACAAAAAGTAATTTTATAAATCAAGTTTAAGAGTAAGCATTTTAATAACTTTTTAAAATGTTGTTGACACATAATAATTTTAGTTTTTTTATATATTTGAAATATAACTTTAATCTCAATTATCTTAAACATAATAGCAATTTTTTATCCACTATCTATATATTTAAATCTTTACCCAAGTTCAAGTCTATCAAATAGAGGTTTCATCCAATTATATATTAGTTTATTGGTTGTTGCTTTGATTTACTTATTAATTTTTTATAATTTATTTTAAAAATTATATGATTATGATTGTAATTTTTAATAATACATGTAATTTTATAAAAATAATAAAATCAATTTTTACTTATTTGTAGCTCATAACATTTTAAAATTTTTGTAAATTGAATGGTAAAATAGATAAAACTATAATAACTCAAACAAAATTTTTATAAAATCGAGATTAATTTAGTTAGCTCATATCATCATTTATGGTAATATTTATCAGATATGATATTCAAATTTTAATGTCTTTAAATTTTTATTTTTTATCTGCAACTTTTTTCTATTAAAACTTATAATTTTTATGTCACTTATTATAAAGTCACATGTATTATTGCTAGAAAAAAAGTACTAGCACTAAACATCAAAGTTTTTATTAAAAAAAAATGAAAGGAGTTGGTTTATAAAAATAAATTAAAATTTAAAGGATATAGTTGTGTTATTAATTTCAAAGCCAATAAAAAAAATAAAAAGTATATGTAGCTCATAACACATAAAAAGTTTTTTAAAATTATTTTAAAAATTATATGATTATGATTGTAATTTTTAATAATACATGTAATTTTATAAAAATAATACAATCAATTTTTATCTATTATCAATATATGTAGCTCATAACATTTTAAAATTTTTGTAAATTGAATGGTATAATAGATAAAACTATAATAACTCGATATAATTTTTATGAAATCAAGATTAATTTAATTAATTTATATCATCATTCATGATAATCTTTTATTCTATGATCAAATTACAACGTAATTTTTATGTCACTTATTATAAAAGTTACATGATTTATTGCTAGAAAATAGCACTAGTATTAAACATCAAAGGAGTTGTTTTATAGAAATAAATTAAAATTTAAAGGATTTAGTTGTGTTATTAATTTCAAAGCAAAAAAAAAAAAAAAAAAAGACCACCCCATTTGAAGGCTTCATTTGCATTGAAAACAGTACTTGAATGGTTAGAGGCAAAAGTTGGCACTGGGAGGAAGGGAGGTTATCAAAAAGTGGGGTGGCCCAAATTTAAGCCATCTGACATCTGTTTCCACTTAGAACTTACCAAAACAAGAACAAGAAAGTGAGGAACCAAAGCAATGGAGAGAGAGAGAATCCAAGCAAGAAGCTTTATTTATTTATTTATTTATATTTATTCATTTTTATTTTTTGCTTGAGACATGAGATGAGAGGAAACAAAACAATCCAATGATAAAGACGGCTTTAAGCTTTGCTTTGCTTGTTAAGTTAGCTTTGTTTTTCCTCTTAACAGAACATAAATTTTCATTCATTATTAAAAGTTAAAAATAAAAAAACAAAAGTTATTATCATTGTTTTCTTTCTAAATCTCTTTCTTTCTCTTTCTCTTCTTGTTTGGATCGGATCTGGAATAGCTTCTTTGGAGAAAAGAAACACAAGAACAAGGCAAGAACGGCTATTTTCCTTTCTTGGTTTTTCATTTCATGAAAGATTTCACCGGTGTCCTGCACTCTTTTCTCTGTTCTATGATCAGGTAACTTGGTTTTGGCCTCTTTTAAGTTCTTTCTTTCCTGGGTTCTTTTCTTTTCTTTTGCTTTATTGGTCAAGTTTGTATTTTTTGCATTTCTTCTTCATTTTCATGTATTTTTCTTCGTAAGACAAGTTTGCATTTTAACTCTTGAAAAGAAGAAAAGTTTTCATTTTTGGGTTCTTGTGAAACTTCAAAGGTTATGTTTCTTTTTTTAGTTTTGGCTATGCTTCCAAGGGTTGGAAATTTAATTTCTTGCTTTGACCATTTGTATTTTGTAACGGTTGTTTTTGTGTTTTGGGACATTGAAGTTGGAAGATTCTATAATTAATGGCTTTCACATAGAGTTATTATCTAGAGGAAAGGGTTTGGTTTAAATTGGACTTTGGTTTGGCCGTGGTAGGTGTTGTTGAATTGTTCAATGGAATCACTTGTTATTTCTTCATCAAAGAGTCACAATCCTGGTTCTGCTATAATCAACAATAACCCTCCTTCAACATCTGGGACGCCTAGGCCTTCTCGGCCTCCATCTGCCAAACAATCCAGAAATGAAGGGCTTTCTTCTACATCCCATGTAGCTACTCTTAATCATGGAGTAAGGATTGTTCGACATCCTAATGGTTCTATAGGCTATCAAAAGCATTCATACAAAACAGCCTATGACAACATGCAGAAAAAGATTTTGGCAGTGGAAAGCAAATCTTCCATCAAATATCCCATTGACGGTCATAAGACTTCTAATTCAAGTGGTTCATTGGAATCCGAAAATATGGAAAGTGTGAATAACCATATTGTATCTCATTCAGGAACAAGCGTTTGTCCTAGTCTTTCAAATAGTATGTGCACTGGTACACTTTATGCTGAAGCCAAACAAAGTTTCACCAACAAAGAAGTTAGTGAATGTGCAAGCAGTGTCAAAAAGTCTGGTGAAAGTGGTGAAGTGAGTAGGAAGACAAGCATCTATAGAGGGAGCACTGGCAGTGATGTTAGTGATGAAAGCAACTCTAGTTGTCTAAGCAGTGCCATCTACAAACCCCACAAAGCAAATGATATAAGATGGGAAGCAATTCAAGTTGTCAGATCTCGAAAGGGGGACTTGAACTTTAAGCACTTTAGGGTGCTGAGAAGACTGGGATGTGGGGATATAGGCAGTGTTTATCTATCAGAATTGACTGGCACTAAAACTTATTTTGCCATGAAGGTTATGGATAAAGCTCTTTTGGCAAGTCGTAAGAAGCTTCTCAGAGCCCAGACAGAGAGAGAGATTCTACAATCTCTGGATCATCCCTTCTTACCCACCTTGTATACACACTTTGAGACAGAGAAGCTTTCTTGCTTGGTGATGGAGTTCTGCCCCGGAGGAGATTTGCACGCTCTCAGGCAAAGACAACCTGGAAAGTACTTTTCAGAGCAAGCTGCCAGGTTAGTTAGTGGTCTTCTTCTCCTTATTCATTACTCTTTATACTCAAGTCTGCATTATTACATCTTTAATTTATCTGCTGCATGTATTTAAGATTTCTTATGGAAACCCATGGATCCGTTTCCTGTTAACTCCCTCTAGGGCTCAATTGCCCTATCAAATGTACAATAGGATGCTGCTAGGAAATTGATGTTACACTTTTGTTGTTAACACAATAAGAATAAGAAACCTTCTTTGTTATCTGAAAATTAGAATAACTTGTATCTGGTTACTCTTATCCAAATCCATGACATTATCATCTCTAGTTGGGCACCATGGAATCCTGAGATGCCACCCTGTATCTAAACACTCCTTTTGGCAGTTCTTCAAGTTATTAGGCAGTATGACATTTATATTTGTCAACAACATCTTCTCTGGGTCTGTTTATGGATCCCCCATATTTGTCTTGTTAATTCAGGTTTCTTCATCATATCAGATGTTTAAGGAAGTATTTTATTGTTCTTATCCCTCTGCTCTAGGATTTACAGTTTGCAGTTTGAAATAAGCTGCGTTCTTCAGTAA